AAAAAAAATTGTGTTAAGATCAGTGATCTAAGTTTCTCTTTTAAGATCTGGAAAAAGAAGAGCAAAGTAAATCCAAAGTAAATTAAAGGAAAGAAATTATTTAAAAAATATAAGCTAACATTAATGAAATAGGCATTAGAAAACTAATTTTTTGAGAAAATGGAGAAAATTAATAAAGCCAAATGTTAGTTCTTTGAAGGGCTAACCAAAATTAATAAGCCCGTAGGAAAAAAAAAAAAAAAGATCAGTATTAGTGAGAAAAAGGGATTATCATTACAGTTCCTATAGACATTGAAAGATAATAAGAGATAATATTATGAATGACTTAATAGTAATAAATTCAACAGTTTAGAAATGGACAAATTCCTTGAAGGACATAATTGAAACTCCATTAGAGATGATAGCTTTTGGATCTTTGGCATAGAGCTCTCTCTTGGTTATCAGATGGAATCATTATTGTCTTCCTGCCTTCCTATTTGCTATATTCCAAGTGTTGATGTTTCCAAAAACTATCCTACAGCTCTCCCTGCTCTTTTTTACCTCACTGCATGGTTTTTCTATTTGTAAAACACTTTCTGGTTCTAGAAGAAAAATCTAGTCTTTTATTGACACTTTCAGAATCCCTAAATTCTCTCAAGAGGGATTCCTTTTTCTTTCCCACCTCTTTGCCCCAACATAGTGAGAAAGGGATTGTATAGGTGAGCCAGGGAGAATCCTGAAGGCTGACATGGATTATCTGTTTTCTCTTAGGCACCTTGGTTCTGGGATACCCGACAGTGCTGGGATAGCTACCCATACCAGGTAGGATCTGAGCCCTTTCAAGACGGGGCCTTATGTGTGTGTGTAAAGTGGGGAGGGGGACAGTGCTTTGCCAGTCCCAGGGTAGAGAGCACATTTCTTTGGTATTCTTGAGTCTCTTTAAGTCTTATTCAGGGTGTCTCTTTCTGAGGCTCCCATAGCAGTGAGTTTAGCGATTTTTTTGTTGCAGGTTCCCCATTACATTCACCCTATTTGGGCTGAAAAGGAAAGGAGCTTCCTGTACTTTATGAGATGCTTTCTGGTTCAGATGTCCCTTTTGAATCAGGAGTAACTTGGAGTTCTCTTTAAGAGCATATGGATTCTCATCTATACTAGAAAAATATCAGGAGGCTGCTAACAGGGTGGAAGAAAGGGAGACATCAGTGCATTTAATCCCCTGAAAGGCACTAGTCTCCCAGAATTCTGATTTGATTGTGCTATAGAAAGTATATGTTCACCAGATCTAAGCTATAAAAGATGAGAGCTGAAGATATGCATGTGGAAGGGCAGGGGGGAGGTCTAACTCAGATTTACTCCATGCCAATCCAAGGTCTGCAGTTCTTGCGGCTCTTGGAAGATGATGGAGAAGAAGGGTGTCTACTGACTCTGGACATTCATCCTCCAAGACAGAGAAAGTTAGAGAGAGTGAATCCTTGACTAGCTGGTATTCTAACTACTTCTTTCTCTCTTCCAGCCTCTAACAAGTGGGCTTTATTACTATTACATCATGGAATTGGCTTTCTATTGGTCTCTTATGTTTTCTCAGTTTACAGACATTAAAAGAAAGGTAAGGACATTGGCTTCCTCAACTCCCTAACTTCCTCCATCCTCCTTTCTAGCAGCTGCCATTTCTACCATGATGGAATCTCTGCCCTGACTGGGACCACAGAAAAGGGAGGAGAAAGTAGGTTTGCTGGGACTATGAGATCTTTGTAATGTTCTCAGAAATGACACTTGATTAATGATGAAGTATATTTGAGGCATTCAGGACAGTCCAGACTGAGAACAGTTAACCAGCTAAGAAGCATACCCCTTCCTTATTTTTCTCCAAGGTTCTTTTCATGAATAAAGCCCAGAAAACTAGGCAGAACTTAGAGATAGCAGTGCCCAATCCAGGAAAAGGCCTGATTCCAGAAAAGCTAGATCTGGTTTTTGTTTGGCTTTAGGGACTCTTATCCTCCATCTGTTCTCCCTTCTGGGTGAGAAGGGGTTGGTTTTTTTTTTAGATTATATAGTTTATTTTACCCTTTTCTTACTATTGTTTAGGAAACAATGATGCAGAGAAATTAGTTGACTTGCCCACATAGTGACAAAATTGGAAATGACCTAAGTTTTTTATAAGCAGACCAAAAGGGAAGAATCTTCACCTTTTATTAGTGTTATTTGTATTTGCCTGATAGAATGTTGTTTCTACAGCTGTAACCCTAATCCATCACAAATTCGTGGTTATCTTTGGTGAGGAAAACTAAGATTAGTGCTTATGGGAGCAGACTGAAACTAATCTGGGTTATTAATTGTTACATAACCTAGAAGCTTGTTACTTAATTCCAGTGTCTCCCTCTCCTATGGTCAGGAGATGGTTCACTTATTAAAATTTTAATGAAAAGTAGATGATACATATGAAGAGGTTTGTAATATATATGTAGGTTTTAAGACATACTAGAATATGTACTTGTGAATTCATCCCCAACTGAAGAACTAGAACTTTTGTGTCTATGTGGAGAGCACATCCTTGTTTCTCTGACCCAAATTCACCTGCCTTCTCCCAACTTCTCTCCCTCACTGGGCTGAGAAGTATTTGTTAGATATGTCTGATAACTCAGGTATTTAGAAATTTCTCTAGGTCTAACCTTGGCATTTGAATCCAAAAGGAAGTTAGAACTTTAACTGTGAAAGCAGGAAATGCTTGCACTACAATGGATTGTTTGGCATTTCTCTGAAACTTTTAAGAATAGTTTGTTTTGTCCCTTCCAGACTTCTTTTTGTTAGGTCCATTGGTTGAAATTCCCTTAATCAAAGCAGAAAAGTCTTAGAATCTCAGAGATGTTTCAGACTTGTATGTCTGACTAACACCTAGGAAATTACTTACAACTGCCACTTCATCATCTATGCTCTACAGATTCTGCAACTACCTCTTTTCTGTACTTTGAGCTATATTAACAGATTCCAGGTCAGTCACGGTAGAGTGTTGGGTCAAATGCTAAGCAGCTCCCAAAGAGTTGAAATGAAATGGAACCTCTAAGAGGTCAGATTAAGATCCTCAGAGAGCATTGTAGGGCACTGAGTCGGCTAGCATCTCTGTGGCCTTGGCTTTTACCTGTCTCTTCTACTTCCATTCCTTCCTAGGACTTCCTAATCATGTTTGTGCATCACTTGGCCACCATTGGGCTTATCACCTTCTCCTACATCAACAACATGGTCCGGGTGGGAACTCTGGTCCTGTGTCTACACGATGCCTCAGACTTCTTGCTGGAAGTAAGAACCCATCCTCTCTTCCCTCATCATTCCTTTCTCTCCTTCTCTTCCTGTCTGAGAACTGGTTTTCTCCGCACATCAATTCTTATCTTCCTTTCTCCAGGCAGCCAAGCTGGCCAATTATGCCAAATATCAGCGTCTCTGTGACACCCTTTTTGTGATCTTCAGTGCTGTGTTTGTGGTTACTCGTCTAGGAATCTATCCATTCTGGTAAGTGTTAGGGCTGTGGAGCTATAGCAGATGTGTAGCTAATGGTACTTTTTGCCAATTTAGGGAACAGACCACCAAAAACCCTATCATCTTGCTTTCTCCTTGGCCTAACTTGATAACTTCTGGACTCTCGCAGGACCACAGTTCTCTTACACAATATTTCTAGTGAGTTGTGATCCAGACTCAAAACATCCAACCCATTTGGCTGTGGCTTTCTTGACTGATTTCTGAGGAACAGTCTCATTTTATGCCTTAGTAATTCTTCTGCCTTCTTTTGACCTAATTACAAAATTGTCAGGCTCTTCTTGTTTTCCTGCTTTGTACCCTCTCCCCAACTCTGACCCCCCACACACACCACTCCCACTTCTACACTCCTTATAAAGCCAATGTCTCTGTGAGCTGGAGATTCTCCTTAGTCTGAGGGAATCAGCTACCAACTATCCTTTATATGCTTGAGGATCTGAGTAATTCCTAGGGTTATGATTAAAACTGGTATCCCACTTTGCAAAACTCTGCATGTTTGAAGTGATCAGTAATGACTTACTCCATCAGTTCCTAAGATTTCTATATCTTCCTTTGTCCCTAAAGATAGAAAACTATTTAGGCTCACTTTCTCTATTCTTTGCTCACTATGGATGAATATCTCTGGAACTTCAAATGATAGAAGGTATGGAGAGAAAAGACACAGGGTTCTGCTTCTGCTCTCGGGGAACTGGGCTTCATCCCTCTCTGCCTGGCTTTGACTCTAGAACCTGACCGTTGGCCTCCCTCTTCTAGGATTCTGAACACGACCCTCTTTGAGAGTTGGGAGATAATCGGGCCCTATGCCTCCTGGTGGCTCTTCAATGGCCTTCTCCTGATCCTACAGGTTCTGCATGTCATCTGGTCCTACCTAATTGCACGAATTGCTTTCAAAGCTTTGATCAGAGGAAAGGTGAGGATAAAAGATGGCTTCGTTCTTTGGGGCTGGGTGAGAAGATTGGTATTACTCAGTAGACCTTCTCTCTCCAGCCTGGTTAGCCCCAGCTATGCAGCATTCCCAGCAAAAAGCCTGGGGCTCCAGAGTTTCCACTTTTTCTATGAGTATGAGTGTTTAGCCTTTTAAGACATGAGATGCAAGAGGAAGGATCTGCCTTCTTCCTGTCTCTAGGAATGACTGTTGTTAAATAATGAATAGGATTAAGTTTAGAAATGGCCCCAACCATTTCTACCCCTTACTTACCTACTTCACTGAATTTCATATTTTTGTTTTAGCATGGGAGCCTTTTTTCAAAGGAAATCCAGAGCTCCGAGATATAAACTGCTATAAAAGCAGTGAGGTTCAGTTGTCTAGGAGTGGTGTGGTAGTTCACAAGCCACCCCAAGATGACAACTTTGATGTTCAAGATATGGTTTATATAAGGGACTAAGTACTGGCCTTCCCCCATGTTGTATGAGGCCAGGGTCCTAAATGAGATGAGTATTTAGGGTTTCAAATACCCATTGTATGCCAAGAGCCCAGAAGCACAGAGAAAGGTGTCATTTAATGATAAAACTCTGATTAGCCCAGGGTCTGGGGATTTAGCTTTTGGTGATACAGAATCCCAAAGCGGGGAGCGTCTCTGCTAGAGGAGACATTGATTCCAGGGCAAAGGGGTAGAATGTTACCCAGGCATATATGATCTTGTGCCACTGTTCCTTTTATGGCTGCATTTGGTTTCAGAACTTGCTCAGTGTGCCTGTGCATCTTGCTGTAGCTGCTGGACATCTCTCTTCTCCTCTGCTCTTCTTTCCTGACCAGGTGGCCTATCCAGGAAGGATTAGACCCAGACTCTGTACTCCCCACTCTTTTCTCACCTTCTTCCTTTTTTCTGTGCCTGGTGGGACCTGGACAGTTTCATCTCTTGCATGTAAGTGTATCTGTGCTTCTAGTATTCAGTGAAGCATGTCTGTCTGAATGTGTTTCTCTTCCTTCCTGCTTCCCTTTCTGGTCCCCTGTGTTGTCTGAGAGCATGCCCTCTCTCCTGACCTTGTGGGGCCATTGTAGACTGGAGCTCAGGTTGCCAAATTCTTTTTCCTAAATGGAGGCAAGAGTTGAGACTGCCATTTTTTTTTCCTTTCCTTTCTTATTTATTTTTTCCTTTTTGAGCCTCCCTTTTACCTCAAAGCTAGATACACTCTGCCCTCTGGTGGAAATTACCTAAAGATCAGGTAGTTATCCAGGTCCAGAGGTCAACAGCTATAATAAACCAGTCTTAGAGCTAACCAAAGCAAGCGCCCCATACCTTGGCAACAACAATTATATCTTTGTTCCCTTCTCAACCCCTTCTCTCCTTTATTTTTTTTTTTTTAAACAACACACATTGACTAACCTTCAGTACTAGAGGTCAGAAGTCTGACATAGGTCTCACTGGGTTTCTCTCCTTTACTTTTATGGTCCATGAAAGAGAATTTGAAATACTTTGCTTTATATGCAGAATAGTTTAGATTGGAAAACACTGCTCTAATCCACATGCTTCATTTGAAAATATAAAACAAAAGCTGAAGTTGAGAGGTGAAGATTCACAGATAATAGCATAGTTGGGATTGGGATTCTCTTCTCACTGCCAGTCCTTTTCTTTGCACCATACTGTGTATCTTGTGATATTGAAGTTGTGCAAGAGAAGGGCTTTTGCTACTGGGGAAAAGGAGAAGACTGGAGAAATGGTGTTGTAGGGTATTGATAGTTGAGGCCAGGAAGAGTAGAACTACTGAAAAAGGCCCAGTTATGGATCAGCTTTGGGGATAAAGCAAAACTTAGGATAACCAATCTGAATAACTGCAGTGGCCACAACCACCAGAAGATAGAAGCAATGATGATGTGTTGGCCCTCTCTGTATTTTGAGGTGGAAGAGAAGAAAGGGTGTCTGGAGCTCCCCTTGAACCTAAAACAGGACTCAGTGAATGACATCAGCTCTCTTAGGCTGGTCCTTAAAGACTTACCCCTTTGCCAAATCAGGTTCCTACTCTGTAGAGAACAGAAACAAAGATATGAGCGAGAAACAGGCAAAGGACATTCACAACAGCAGCCATGGTCCAAATAATATTTTGAGTCAGGTGCCACCAGAAAGTAGGCCTGACTAGGAACAGTGCCCACATACGGGCTCTGTGGGCTTAGTCTGTCTTATAATTCCAGAAGACTTCTGTTCTCACCTTTCCTACCTTTGGCCCTGTCCCACTCAGGTGTCTAAGGATGATCGCAGTGATGTGGAGAGCAGTTCAGAAGAAGAAGATGTGACCACCAGCACAAAAAGCCCCTGTGGCCACAGCTCCAGCAATGGTGCCAATCGGGTGAATGGTCACATGGGAGGCAGCTACTGGGCTGAAGAATAAGGTAGTTGGTATGGGGACTTCAGCCCACATGGACTTGTAGGGCCACTGGCAAACTACTCTTGGGCCTCCCCACATCTGCACTCTTATGACTTGGGGGTCTGCGAGGCACTGAGGAGAATCAAAGAAGCAAATATTTTCACTTTTTAAAAAAAAACTCTTCCATTTCATATTTAATAGCCTCCCAGTTCTTTCAGTAATGTTATTTGCTCTGTGTGTTTTTGTGTGTTTATGCGTGTGCATGTGCATTTATGCATATGCATGAGTTTCATTGCTTGGGTTGGGGCACAATTCTGGACTGGGGCCACTAGGCCTTGCCTGGTCCCCTTTGAACCCACCTCAATCCCAGATTTGGCTGCATCTTTAATTATGCTGGTTCTGGACTGTCCCCTCCCCTGTTGCCCATGGCTCTGAAGGCTCTGGCCATCAATGGAACAGCCAAGTTCAGCTCCAGTTCTGCACTGTTCCTCCTCCGGAGCTGGAATATTTCACATGAAGTTGTATAGAAAGAGACAACCATGGATGGATGGCCAGGATTGCTGTGGCCCCCAGCTAGATTACCGTCCTACCACCTGGTAGTGACAGGGACAGCTGCTGATACCCTGCTATTTACTCAATGGTACACAGGGAGTTGGGGGTGGGAAGGGGTAAGCTTGAGGGCTGGAGGACAACAGCCACTGGGTGAGCTGTTAACGGTTTATACTATTGTTTACTCTTCTGTGATTAAAAGTTCTTCAGCCCTCCTCTGCTGTCTCAGTCTCTTTAGTGACTCTATCTCCAGTTCTCTGAATCCATAAGCTAATTAAGAATTTTTTCAGGTCTGATTCTAGAGGCTGTTGGACACCAAATTTTTCCTTTCTGTGCATGCTAGTGGTATGAGTGCCTACATTTTAGGGCCTTATTTTTTAAGAAAAAATAAACATGTATAATGGTTACAAGAAAAAACACTGGGCAGATAAAAAATACATATATTGCCAAACCAACAGAGGCTTTGGTTGAAGAGCTAAGACCCCTTTAGTTAGATACCAGTACTTCCTATTTTATTGAATAGAGACTGTCAGCTAGCATTTTAAGATTGCAAAGAATGAACCTGAGCAGATGTTTTCTCTTCTAGTTCTGTTTTCTCTTTTTTAGCCCGTGGAGAAACAGCCTTCCATATCCAGAGTTTCTCTAATTTGAGGTTTTGGCAAAACTGACAATTGTGTATTAATCTCTCAGAATCTCTCAGAACAGTTTTCCATTTAGTGAACATTCAGATTATCAAAATATTTCCAGATGTTCTTATGTACATTAAGGCATATGGAGTGCTTCATTGTCAGGGAGATAGATGAAAACTGAAAGAAACAGATTACTGTTTTAAGAATCAGATACTCACTTGACGTTCATTGACATTGGGATATTAACCCTACCAAAATTTACCTTACTGAGTGGCTGGATGTGATTCCCACTCATCTGACACCAAATGCAATGGTGTATTTTTTCCCTACATATATGTATAACACTAACAATATTATACACAGGAGTAATAACAGTATAACTTTATTTGGGTACCCAAACCCAGTTCCTTTCTGTGCATGCTGGTATGAGTACCCACATTTTAGGGCACAAGGAATTGAAAACTAGACCAGAAGACAACACAGTTGATGGAATTACTGAAGGGGCAAGGGGAACAGAACATAAGGACTTGGGTTTTAATGCTGACAACAGGAGATAAAACTATGGCCCCATGCAGAAATCCTAGAACTAAGGCCTCCAGTTAAAGCTGGGACCCTGAAAGAGCAACAGCCTTGTGAAAGGGAATAAACTATCAAAAATTAGCCCTGTTGGCAAAAAAAAGCAATAACATTTGAATGCTTGGGCTTGTGGTGTCAGGTGACTTGAGAATCTCCTCAAAATTCTGGGCTCACACTTCATGTGAATTTGAGATCCTATGTATATACTTCCTGTATAGTCTGGAAAATGTCATCACACCCATCCCTGGGTAAGAACTTGCATGAAAACTTAGATCATTATCCCTGGGACTGCTCTGGAGAGACGTGCATGATGACACAGACAATGTGGGATTTATATCACTATCACTCCCCCAAATAAAAAAGCTACAGATTATCTCAGTCAAACCTGTAACACATGTAACAAAATACCAGTATTCAGAATATATATAATTAAAGAAACAACAAAGACAACCCAATAGTAAGAAAAAAAGGTTGCGGGAACAAAGGATATGAACAAGCAATTCCTAGAGAATAAATATGCTAATGGATAATAAATCAATCAAAAGGTGCTCAGCTTTCCAGGAAATCGGTGTGTATATTAAAAAGAAACCATACCAACAGAATGGGGAAATGTTGGTGACAGTGAAATTGACTACTTTGGAAAAGCAATTTAACAATTGTTAATAAAGCTAAGTATTAGTAATAATTACTCTTGGAGAAACTAGCACATAGGCCCAAGAAAACATACCAGGATACTTACTACACTGCTATTTATGAGGGAAAAAGTAGAAATGACCCAATGATCTTTCACTAGAGGAACTGAATAAATTGATTTACTCATGCAAACAGATTATATAGCAATTAAAATGAATGTTTACCTGTCAATATAGATACACTAGCCTGAACCAATAGGATATTTACATAGCTATATTCCTTTACTAAAAGATTAATTGTAAGGAATTGGCTTGCATGGCTATGGAGGCCAAGAAATATCAGGATCTGTAGTCAGCAGACTGATGACCTAGGAAAGCTAATAGTATAGTTCCAATCTGAGTCCAAAGGCAGGGGAAGACCAATGTCCCAGTTTGAAGACAGTCAAGTGAAGAGAAGGAATTTTCTCTTGCTCCACTTTTTTTTGTTTTATTCAGGTTGTCAATGGATTGGATGAGGCCCAACCACACTGGGGAGGCCCATCTGCTTTATTCAGTCTGCTTCAAATGTCAATCTCATTCAGAAACACCCTCACTGATGCAGCAGGAATACTGTTTAACCCAGTATTTGGGCACTCAGCCCAATTAACTTGACACATGAAATTAACCTGCACAACAGATACCAAAAACAAAGTTGAGTGAAAAAGGCAAGTTGCAAAAGAATATGTCCCATTTAACACAATTAACCCAAAAATAATATTAAGGGTACTTATATAATAAAAGTACAGATACAGCAACTGAAGAATGGATAATGTTTATATGCACACCTCATTTTATTGTACTTCAAGGATACTGTTTTTTCTTTTTAACAAATTTAAGGTTTGTGGCAACCGATTTGAGCAAGTCTATTGGTGCCGTTTTTCCAACAGCTTTTCCTCACTTCATGTCTCTGTGATACAGTGTTAATTAGCAGTATTTCAAGCTCTTTCATTATTATGTTATGACCCATGATCACTCATCTTTGATGTTACTATTGTAATTGGGGACACTACAAACATGCCCACGTAAGACAATGAATTTAAATCAATAAATGTGTTTATTCTGCTCCGCACCCTGGCCATTCTATCTCCCTCCCTCTCCTCGGGACTCCCTCCTGGAGACACAACATGGAAATTAAGCCAATTAATAACCCCCCAGTGACCTCTTAGTGTTCAAGTGAAGAGTCCCACGTCTCTCATTTAAATCAAAAGCTAGAAATGATGAAGCTTAGTGAGGAAGGTATGTCAAAAGATAAGATGGCCAACAGCTAGGCTTTTGCCAAACAACCAAGTTGGGAATGCAAAAGAAATGTTCTCTAAAGGAAATGAGAAGTGCTATTCCAGTGAATGCATGAGTGATAAGAAAGTGAACCAGCCTTGCTGATAGAAAATTTTAGTGGTCTGGATAGATCAAACCAGCGACATCATTCCCTTCAGCCAAACCCCAGTCCAGCACAAGGCACCCAACTCTGAAGGCTGAGAGAGGTGAGGAGGCTGCAGAAGAAAAGTTTGAAGCTAGCAGAGGTTGGTTCAAGAGATTTAAGGAAAGAAGCCATCTACATAACATAAAGTGCCAAGTGAAGCAAGTGCTGACAGAGAAGCCGCAGCAAGTTATCCAGAAGATCCAGTTAAGACAATGAAGTTAGCTACACCAACCAACAAATTTTCAATGTAGACAAAACTACCTTCTATTGGAAGAAGATGCTGTCTTGGACTTCCATAGCTGGAGAAGTCAATGTCTGGTTTTGCTTTAAAGCTTGAAGGGACAGGCCAACTCTCCTGTAAGGGGCTAATGCAGCTGACTGAATTGAAGCCCATGCTCATTTACCATTTCAGAAATCCCAGGGCCCTAAGGATTATGTTACATCTACTCTTCCTATGCTCTATAAATGGAACAACAAAGCCTGGGTGATAGCACATCTGTTTATAACATGGTTTACTAAACATTTTAAGCCCATTGTTAAAACCTACTGCTCAGAAAAAAGATTCCTTTCAAAACGTAGCTCACTGACAACACACCTGGTCACCCAAGAGCTCTGACAGTGAAGTATGAGATGCATGTTTTTCATGCCCACAAACACAGCATTCATCCTGCAGCCCATGGATCAATGACTCATTTTGACTTTTACCATTTAAGTAAACAAAAACACCAAGACACAGACATGGCAAAGTATTTATTGTCTGTAGGTGTGCCTAACCCTCCCCATTCCTGTTAACAATTCAATAACCTCCCCAAACTGGCAGAATCAGAGAAAACATGGGCATTTTTCCCCAGCATGGTTTGAAAATAACGAGGCCCTATTAACTTGACTTGGAAATCATTGTAGGTGAGGTCTTCACACAGCACGTCTCAGGCCTCACTGCTCAAAGAAAAAAGTCCCCCAGTTCTACAGGACTCCTGATGTCTTCTGTTCTTCTGCAGCCTGGCGCTGGGAGCTGCGCCACTGGAAATAGTGGTAGACTCGGGCACTGCAGAGGTATCCCCCATACACAGTGAGAAGCATCATGGAGGCAGAGAAGGTCTTATAGCCAATGTCAGCTAGCTGCTTGGCAGTTGGCATGTTGTCCCCTACAAAGACAGATGAGATTAAGACCTGAGGATGGGGCCTCATCTGTGCAGCCCACTTCCTTAAGGCCATTCCTTAACTTCTGCATCCTGCTTAATCTGTCTGCACGCTATTCTGAATGGCCCCTACATGTATGCAGGCTCCTAAGCTGGAAGGTACTGTTTGGGAACTCTAAGATTCAAAGCGGCAAATAAAGCCTGCATACAAAATACAGAAACACAGCTGGAATCAGGTACATCTGAATGTCATCACAGCTAACGCCTGGCCCTCCATGTTTGTGGTGAGAAGTGACTGGCATGGACCACCCAGAAATGTCCTTAATTGATACATTAAAGCACATGTGAGTTTTTCTGGCTAGTAGGGCATTAACAGAGGTAGCCAGGGATTAAGCATTAGCAGTGAATTATTCTCTAGAAGGAACAAATGGGAACCTTTTAGGCAATATGCAATTTGTTTTCCCATAAAAACAATCTTTTTCATGGTGGTTTGGTTCCCAGGTTAGCCCTCAAGCATCTGTTTAAGCCACAATATATCCGAAATAGTGCCAAGAATACATTTATATTACTTCAATTATACTTAACCTTCTACAGCATTAATTCTTAAGTTCCAAATATATCACCAAAGAAACTATCCCAAGGGCTAAGAAGAAAGTCTCCAGCAAATTGTCAATTCACATTTGCACAGGTAAATTACTTCTAACTTAACTGTTCCCTGGATATTCTGAACTAGGGAACATGGGAAAGTTTAGCACGGGAATCTCCCAACCTGAACAAAATGTCCTTCAATTTGCGGCTATGAATGTGTTATTTGGCCCATCTCTGTTGAGGGGTTTGAAATTAAAAGACTGAAATTAGTAAGAATAAGTTTCTTAAAAGTCATAAACTTGGAAGAAGAAAAGCTCATGATTAGCTATTTAGGGGGTTGGGAGTAGGGTGAGACATAGAAGTGCTTCTCAGAGTGAGTCTTAAGAGCATTGCCTTTGAGCAAGTCCTGAGGGTGGACCTGAAGCTGAGCTGAAGCACAGCTTCTTTCAATTATAATTCCAAGTGACTATGGAAAGTGACATGAAATAGGTGAAAGGAAGAAAACCAAATGGCACTGGTTCAAGATGTGAAAGGGCTGTGTTCAGGTTATCTGAGGCTTGAAAGGACCCCAAGCTGTGAGACGGTAAACACACACACATAGAGCAGGACACTAACGTAGTCAACAAGCTCCCAGCAAAGAAACCTGCAACTTCAATCCCCCACCCCCACCTCATTCTCCTGTTCCCCATTGCACTGGCCAGATGCCAACCAGCTATAGCGCCACGTCTTTGAGAGGCTAGAGGAAGGAGGCTCATCAACCAACAAACAAGCAGGTTGGTACAGGTTGGCTAGAAGAGTGACAGAAGACCTACTAACAGACATCATTTTGGTGTGTAGAACCTCACTTCCTTCTCTTGTCTAATTCAACCTGAGATTTCTCCTATTTTCTAATCAACTTTTCACAGGCCCTGAGCTAAGGCAGGGCAGTTTAAAAGGAGAGGACAGATGCATAAGTTATTTTGGAAGTGGAAAAAGATTAACTGAATTGATTAGGGCAAAGCTGAAAATATCTCCAAGGTAGTAAGTTAGGAAACTTCGTGGATTGGGATACTGATAATAGATACAAGAAGTGAGAAGAAACACATGTTTGTCACTGTGTGTATGGGGATGGTGGGGGCAGTGAGTATCAGTAAAGATCATGAGCTGGATTTTGGACATTTAAAAGTAAGATGTTCAACATCACATTCATGTGAGGATGTCTACCAAGCAGATGGGTATTCAAATCTGGACAGATCCCAGGAGAGAGGCTAGGTTACAGATAGAGATCAAAGTAGTGAATGACACCAAAGCAGAAGGTAAGAGCAGAGAGAGGCCAAGGGAGTGCCAGTTTGAAGCAGGAAAACAAAGAAGGCAGGTAGGAAACAGCAATAACGTATGGGGGGGCTTTTTCATTTAACTAGCCCTCCCCCCACTTCCTGATTAAAAAAATCACTGCGGGACTCACAAACTCCAATAAGGGACTAGCAGTTAACCAAGAGGGAGCGGTGAGGGAGTGAGAAGGGGATTGAGGGGTATTATATTAGTACACATGGTGTGGGGGGCATCATGGGGAAGACAGTGTAGCTCAGAGAAGACAAGTAGTGACTCTGTGGCATCTTACTACACTGATGGACAGTGACTGACTGCAATGGGGTATGGGAGGGGTGACTCGATAATATGGGTGAATGTTGTTACCGCATTGTTTTTCATGTGAAACCTTCATAAGAATGTATATCAATGATACCTTAATAAAAATATATAAGTAATGATAGTACTGGATTATAATTTCCTATAGTTTTGAACATATGTATCAAGAGCAAATAAGAGCTCACAAGAAAAAATCCAAAGTCCAATTCCCCTTGGGTTTGGAGTGGGGTGGGGAATTCACTGCTGTATCAAGTCACTGCCACTGAGAGAGCTGTGCTATATCTTTCAGGTGTGTTGGGTGAAAATGAACATTGGGAATGACTACTGCAAAGTTAACTGCAATGAAGACTGGTCAGATGGCCTCCCTGGATGGGAACGGGTGACTAGGTCACTGGTAAACCTAATGCAGAAGCCCATTTGGTGGAATGAATTGGAACAGGCATTAAGTAAAAACAGATTCTTAGTCAAGGCCCCAGCAGGTCCATGAACTCCACCCACAAGGTTCATGTGCCTGTGCACTTTTCTGGGACACAAAGATTTTTAAAGGATCATAACCCTCTCACCCCAAAGATAAGAATCGATATTCCTGTGATGTGCTTGTTAAAGGGAATGGGAATAATAGGATAGCAGCTAGAGAAGGTAACAAAATCAAGGAAATTCTAGTTTTGTTTTGCTTATTGATAAGGAAGGTTTGAATATGTTTAAGAGGGGAAGAAACTAGTGGCTAAACTGAAGATAAAAGTGAGGTGGCGGGATGTAGTAAGATCCAGGAAGGCCCAGGATAAGATGAAATTAGAAGCCAACGTAGAAGGATTAACCTTGGAGATGGAAGGAAACTTCTGAAGTTAGCAGAACCTCTCATCCGAGGAATACCATTTTCTCAATAAAGCTCAAAGCTGGGTCTGTTGTGGGGTGAGGGTTGACTAAAGACTTCAGGAAAACAGAAAAGTGAGAGGAACCATTATAAAAAAAGCCCGGACAGTACAATCTGCAAAGGTTCTGTGGCTCTTCTTTTTCTGCCCCCTAAACATGAGAGGATCTCAAGGCTCTAGTTTCTCCTCTGGAGAACTCATTCTCTCAGTGGGTCCATCCACATACGCTTGGATTTACTCATTCATCTGTCTACCTTTTATCCATGCTATGAAGGCCGCAGGGAAGAGAACATGGCTTCTGTCTCAAAGGAACTTGTGGTCTAATGGGGATAAGCTATGTGTTTCAAATTCTGTTCGAGTAGAAAAAAAAAAGGCGGTGACCAGAAGAGAAGAGGCATTGTAAGAGTTCAGAGACGAGATGAGGGCTCAAGAAAAGTTACGACAAGGGCAGGAGGCCGGGGTGAAGGGAAGGCGCTTTTTCGAAAGATGGGCAGGATTTATACTAGTAGAGTTGTAGGAGAGCATTCCAGGAGTTAAAAGCAGCAAAGGAATGGAGCTGTTTAAATCGACCAAGCATGTAGGGTACCGGGGAAAGCCACACATCAGAGCGCTGAGGGCTGTACGGCAAAGATGGGTTAAAGCTACCAGAGACAGGGCGTAAAGCGCCAAGACGCCCGGCTGGAGTCAAGGTTTGACAACAACTGACGGATACAAAGAGCTTGCTGGGGTGGGAGCAGTGCAGACCGCGGCTCACGGTCCGTGACGCAGGCTTCGTCGGTGACCTCAAGGACACCGAGGCCTGAAGATGGGCACGGGAGGATGCCTTGAGCAAAGGCCGGCCCAAGTTGGCATGTTGCGGCGGACAGGCGGGACCAGCTGGGCCCTAGCGAACGCGTACCTGGATGCTGCAGCTCCCTCGCGTCCTACCGAGGCCTCCGAAGGCAGCGTCTGGCGGCCACAGCCTGCGCAACTTCTTAGCGCGGCGAGAGGCAGCCCCCAGGACCAGACACGTGAGGGCAGCGGTCTATTACTGGGGCTCTATTGGTGCGGAGAGTCACCTTTCCTCCCACCCACCCGCCGCGATTACTCTCCAGGATTGGTCTCCTAGCGTTAGAGAGCGCCCCGCGCGCCCCGCACAGCACAGCTCCGCCCACTGGGGCGGGGCCATGTGCGTACCAGGGCTCCGGGGGCGGCCGCCTTCGAACTTCCGGCTTCCGGGCCAATCACCCTTACTACGCATCCTCAGACGATCCTTTCTCTCGCAGAGGCCCGTTGGATTATGGGGGTTGTAGTCACTCTCCGTTGAGAGAGGGTCTTTTGTGACCTGGAACCAGAACTTCTAGTATATACCGTCACGCTAGAAAAGTTCTGTCCGACTCAGTGTCAGCCAATCCCCAGCCTACGGCCCAGTGACGTCTCCGGAAGCTAAGTAGACTCGTAGAGTAAGCCGCGCGCCCCCTAGAGCTGCGCTCATCCCCTGGCCAGGCTTCGGCCGAGTTCAGGTAGGAACCCACCCGCACCTCGAGGTCTGGACCGCCGAGGATGCGGCAGGTTTGGCCGTGGCTACGGAGTGGGAACGAGGGACGAAACCGTAGCGTTTCTGCTTCGTGTGCGCCCTCCGCACTTGCCGGCGACTTGCTAAATTCCCCAAAACGCGCCGGGAAGGGGCTGGGAGGTGCCCTTTGTGGGATGCGGGACCTCGCGGACACCCACTCCTGCTAGGGCCCCGGAGTGGCTGATTATTATTGAGGAGGGATTTCTTTTCTTCCTCCATTTCTCCTACGGTGTGAGTGAAAACATAAACCTGCGGTCGTACAGCACAGCATACGCACTGCCATATGCACTGAAGTGCCCTTCCCCAACTCGTTTCTGGAAAAAACACGCTTTATTGAGTAGACAAGCAGGCCTGACTCAGAAGCCATTCGCTGTGGTGCGAACAAAAGTGGGCAAAGGTGTTCGACTATCCAACAAGGTTGCAGCTCAGGAAAGGGAACTGTTTTTCTGCCGCCCCCCTTTGACCTCCTGGGGAAGCGGTTGTGGATTTAGTCAAGTGCCCTGACCTGGGCCCGGCCACATCTGAGATGTCTTTGCCCCTCACTCCTGCTGCCTGATGCAGGCAGCTCTGCCCTTTAAGACAGTGAATTCTCAAGAGCTAAGAGTGAGAGGAGCTTGTCTACCTCGCTTGCCTGGGAGTAAGGAAGGGTTAAGGTAATGCTGGCCAGAGTCAGTGTGCCAGGGGCTGCCACACAGGAAGCTGAGACTCCCTTCTGGACGTGGCAAGAGCCTGTCAGCCCTCGGGGACTATTTATAGCCAGGGGCCCAGGCTGCTGAACTGTGACATTCTCCAGCTGCCACCCCATCTTGGAGCCAGGCCAGTGCAAAGCACACTCGTTCCCGTCCTCCCCTCCCATTCTTCCCTTACCCCAGGGTTAGAATTGTTTTGATTTTTTCCTCCTCCTTGAGTTTCCCAGCGCCTGAGGTGCTGATATATCAAATGAGAAAGCTTTCACATGACAAAGGGGAGCTGGCCTTGGAATGTCAAGACCCAACCTGGGAACCTGCTCACCCTTCCCTACCCCTGAAGAGCCTTGGGGCACCCTGGTTCCCTGGCCTCCAGATACAGGTGCTGGTTAGTTGCCCTGGTTGCTCCAGGGGCAGTTGAGAAATAGGTACAGGGTTTGGAAGGAGGAAAGGGATGGAGCAAACGATGTCCTGGAGAGATCCCAGCAGGAGGGACCCAGTTGACACCTCCCCCTCCACAGAGCTCCTGAGAAGGGAGGCAGGGCAAACACAAAGGTCACAGGGAGCTGAGTGATCTGAGCCTGCAATGAAAAGGTGTAGCTTTGTCAGCAGAATAAGTTCCTGCTCCCAAAGAGGGTGCTGGCAGGGAGGGAAAGGGAAGGCTTGGAAAGGTCATGCATGGTAGGGAGGAGCTGGCAAAGAACTAGGAACCAGAAAGTCCCTGGGGAGAATGACAAGCTCCAGAGCCAGAGATGCCAGTGTGGCAGCAACTGTGGTGCCAGGGCAGCCTGGGGGAGGAGGAAAGGGGACAACCAGAGGTTTCTGAGGACGCAGATGTTGCTAGGAGAAGCTAGAAGGGGGTTGTTTGAGATCTTTGTATTATGTTAAGAAACACCGAGATCCATTGATGCTGTGTGGGACCTGGCAGATGTCAGAGCAAAAGGGAAGGTTCCTGGGGCCTATGTCAGCTCAAAAGCCCAGAGCCCTCTCTGGCAGACTTGCCTCATCCCTCTTGCGGCTGAGGTACTTGTTCAGCCACTTAACTAGGCTTGGGGACATGATTCCTGGTCTGTGTGAGGCAGCAGTGGGCAGCCCTTGCCTTGCCACCCCCTCCCTCCCCCCTTTCTCCTCCCCTCATCACACACACCCAAAGCACACAACACTGGGGCTTGATTCTACCCCTCCCAGAAGATGGGGAGGAAACGCTGCATCTGGAAGGGGCAAGGCAACTCTGTTTCTGGTGGGGTGTGGTAGCTAGAAGCTCTAGGCTGCTTGGTGGTTCAGGATCTCCAGGCAGGCAGATGGGCCCCACAGCCTCCTGCCCTCCAGTGGAAAGTTGAGAAGAGGCTACTTTGTGGGGAGTCTTGTAGAGCCTAGTGGCCAGGCACCTCAAGCTTCTGCCGGTCTCAAGTGGAGTAGAGAAGCTACCTGGCCTGGGCCCCAGCCCTGCTCATATATGTTCTGGATGATTCTGCAGGCAACGGATGAATTCACTCACTGGCTGACTCTCATAGCATACTCTGTACACAGCCATGAACAAAGGAAACCTAGAATGGGGAAGGAGAGACCCAGCTTAGCCTCCTACTAGATTCCCTACCTCCCATACCCCAACCACCTCCTAACCCTCTGTTCCTCTACTCCCACCTCTGAGCTCAGGCAGACTCTGATTCTCAGTTTACAGTTGCTGAGAATTTGAACTTCCTAGCCCTGGGTTTTAGGGTTAGGTTGTTAATTGCTCTGCTCTGTATTATACTGAACTTGCCTACATGATTCCTTGGCTTGAATTTTGGGGCTACCCACTTAACCTCTCTGAGTCTCAGTAATCATCATCTGTAAGATAGGGGCCAATATAGCAAAACAGTGAAGAACTGATTACATATTATGTGAAGATGCTCAACAAATGCCAGTTTCCTTCTTCCCATCCTCTTGCCCAGGTTGCTTCCTTTACCAGGAGGCTTTATCCTGACCAGCCATGAACTGACCTGAACCTCCCTTACACTCTCTTATGTGAGGAGTCTTTCTCAGACGCACAGAGCTCTGCTCTGATCAGTCTGTCATCCCACTTTGTGCTCCCTGAAAAGGAGTACTCCAAAGCAGAGACCATCCTTCTCACACCTCGGCACCTAGAACAGGATTCAGGGGGCAGAAGGAGTTGCCCTTGGGGGAGCAGATCAGACTAGGGGTGATGGAGAGGTGGGACAGTCAGAGCTTATCCTGCTGCCCCAGAGCTCCAGCTCCCAGAGCAGAGGACAGACAAGGAGGAAAGGACAAGCAACACTGGGGCTTGATTCTGCCCCTCCCAGAGGAGAGGGAGAAAGCCCCACATCTGAAGAGGGACAAGGCAACTCCATTTCTGGAGAGAGAGGAGGCTACAGAGAAGGGTCAAAGCAATGTGATACAAAGGGCATGAGACTGGAAGGAGTTCCAAGACCTCAAATGAGCTGGGGACAATGGGAAAACCAGACTCTCTCCAAGCTCTCGTCTCTTCGTAAACATAAGATGACACTTCCCTCTGCCTGCTTCTCAGACTGAGGGGGGTCCAGACAGGTGATGAGCAGGAAGAGCACTTCTGGCCGCAGTAGGCACTTACTTGTCCACCAGGCCCTTCCGCTGGAGGATGCTGTGTAGCTCCCGGGCTGTCTGGGGCCCCTGCAGCTTCTGCCCATTCAGCATCTCTTTCTCCAGCTGCTCAATGGACTGTGAAAACAGGATGGGTGGATGGAAGTGGGAGAGGAGGGCCGTCAGTGTGCCATGCAGAGTCTGGGGCTCAGATGGGAGGTGGGGTTATAGGAGGAAAGGTGGCTGGAAAGGTTCACAATAATACTAATGTTTGTACTCAAGAGATGCCTCAAGCCAGGTTCCTCTACCTTGACACCTACAAGGCCCACCCTCCACTCTCCATTCTCCCCGGGGCCCACCTTTCCTGTGCGGGCAAAGGCCTCAGCCACCTTGCGGTTCCGCCCTCCATAGCAGGTAGTGATAAGGTCAGCAACCCCGCAGCTTTCCAAGAAGGTGGCAGAGGACACAGGGCCACTGCAGAATAGCTTGGCAAAGGCAATCATCTCCATGAGCCCCAGTCGGATCACAGCCGCCTTGGTATTGTCGCCAAAGCCCAGGCCGTCACAGAAGCCAGCTCCCACAGCCACTACATTCTATGGCAGAGTGGAGGCCATGGGTGAGCAAGGAGCCCCTCCTGTAGGCCCCACTTGGGGCCCTCAGCACGTGCCTCATGCTCCTTCTATCACCCATGACTCACCCACTGAATAAGCAACGTCTAGTGGGTGGGCTTCTCAACTATTTCCACCTCTTGGTTTTCCCATTTGCTGTACCCCCTCTTTTTAGCCTGGGCTTAACATCCTGCTCCCCAACTCTGCCCCATACTCCATCCCTGAGCACACTTCCTTTTCAGTCTTCTCTCCAGCTAGCCCTCCCGTCCATGACGGTTCCCTTCTCTATCTCTGATGCCCACAGTTCTGTCCAGGATCCAGAGTTCTGGTCATCAAATCTATCTGAGTGTGCTCTTAACCTGGGTGCTCCCCCAGGTCATCTCCTCTTCCCCCTGGGACACCCCCTGGAGCCAGGAATAGGAATGGCCCACAAGGAGCTACAGGGAGAAAGGACAAAGGGGATCCAGTATCTGATGGTGACCAGTCAGCAGGCTTGAATGACCCTGGCCTTGTTTCTGCAGTTCTTCCTGTGTGTATGGGATTTGCAGGGGAAGGGGAACAGCTGCCCAAGAATGACAGCCTAGAGTACCAGTGACCTTGTATAGCTAAGCTGGACCCACTTTCAGGACTCTCTCCCTACCCACAGCTGCTTCTGTGCCCCTTTTACCTTTAAGGCTCCACAGATCTCTACTGTGTCCACCTCTGGCACCACTGTGATGCGGAAGTTGGGTGTCTGCATTAGCTCTTTCAGAAGCTGTCCCCGGGCTGGGTCCTTGCAGCCTGAAGTGGGGAGGAAGCAAGGCCTTAAGAGGGTCTCTTGACTCTTCTTCCCACACCTGCCCAGAGCAGGACCTGCATCCCTTTCCCTGGGGGTATCCAACCTCTGATGCTTGGGTCTTCTTTCTTTGCCTGTCTTATGGGGAGATGATGGCTAACGGAGTTTGGGGGGAGAGTGGGGAGGGAATGAAATGAGCTGCATTGGGCATGTGGGTGGTGATAGGGTTCTCACCAATGGTTGTCTCACAGAACTTCTCATCAGCCACCTCATTGGCAATGTTGGCCCCCATCAGCACACTCATGGGGATGCCAAGGCACTCCCCAATCACTTCAGAGATGAGCTTCAGCCCGTCAGGGCCTTCATCTACCCCCTGTACACAGGATGGAGCACAGGCAGAGTGCCTTTTATGCCTATTGAGGGCTTCCCACCCAGAAATCCTGCCTCTTTCAAATCCATTGTCCATCACTGTCCATCCCCAAAGGCCTGCCCCACTCCAACCCAGCCAAAGCTTGCTGTGAGGAGGGTAGATAGCATGTGAAATGAATCCACCTGAAAACTCTCCTTCCACATGCCTTCCACCGACCTCCCTCTCCAAGGCAGTGTATCCTCTCCACATCCCTGAACAACCTGCTCCTGAGTACCCCAGACTAAGTCCTGTCCTGACCACTGCTCCAAACCAACCCTTCTTTCACCACTCATTAAACCCGCCCGCTTCTGATATCCCCCAGGCATCCCTGTACACCCTCTAAACTCCCCAAGACATCTGCCTCTAGACCGATTTCTTATCTACTCCCCGACCAACCTCTACTTCCCAACGGCCCCCAGCATCTGTTTCTCAAGCCTCCCCAAAGCCAACTCCTCTCTCCAGAAGACTCTTGGCCTACTTATGTCATTTTCTGTTCTCCTTACTTCACCCATCCTGGGCCTCACAAGTTAGCTGCACCCCCATCCATATGAAGGTGTCCGTAATACCTTAATAAGAGATATGCCAATCGCGTTTGCCTTCAGGTGGCCCTTGAGCTGATCACAGATCTTGCCAATGAACTGGTGAGGCACCACAAATATCAGGATGTCAGCATCCACTGCAGCCTGCACCACATCTGGGACAGCCACCTGCGGGAGTGACCAGTGCTCATGGCCTGACAGACTTCTCCCAGCCTCTGTGGAACCCCATTCAGGAGATCCAGAGGCCAAAGAGGCTGGTGGGGGAGAAGGAAGGGCTGAGCTTGGAGCAATACGATACTCTGTTCCCTCCCCCAGCCATCCCCTTGCATCTCCAGCTGTCCCAGGCTGAGGATTCCTGGAAACCTCCTCCCAGCACTCTCCTAGCCCTTGGCTGTGGGACAGTGAGGGAGGCCAAAGGAGGCCTGCACTTGGCAGGAAGAAGAGGCCAAGTAAGATTTCATCACCCTGCTCCTTAGGGCCCCCAACTGGGAAGGGAGATCCCCAGTCTTCCTACTATCTTCCCTGCTCCCCCTTTCCAGGTGGGGAGCAAACCACATGGATTTGACCAAAGACCTTAAGTCCAAGGAGCAGCCTGCAAGTCTGCTAACAACCCAGTGAATGAGTAACAGGATTGGAGCCTGAGGCAGGCACTACCTGGACCCCAAGTCTGGGAACCAGAGAACCTGTCTTTGGCTGTCATGGGAACCAACCCTTACGCTTTCCCCCTCCTTTTCCTGCCTGGGAGCCCATAAGGTGTGTGGGTGGAGGGGTTCATTCAGGCTCTCCTAGGCCCAGGAAGTGCCCAGGGGAGCACTCTGAAGGCTGTGCATTGGGGCACCTATGCCTGGAGCAGCCCTCTGAGATGTTTCCCTGTCCTGGCCGCTGCTCCAAACTAACTTCACCTGAAATGGCCTATCTCAGCGGGAGGCACCCCTCCACTTCCCTTTCCCTTCTTTGCAAGGTGTTGGGCTCACCACATTGGGGGGCAGCTTGTGCCCTGGTAGGTATTTGACATTCTCATGCTGCGTGTTGATGATCTCTGTCAGCTTTCTGCCCCCAATGTCTTCCTCAAACACCCACATGGTCACCCGTGGGTCAAAGCGTGCCAGCTGGGCTGCATTGCCCCCCACAATCTTTGCGATGGCTGAGCCCCTGGCAGGAGGAGCACAGAAGATGCAAGAGTGGTGTAAGGACAAACGGTAGCAGGGGAGGGGCAATGCTCCACCTCAGGATATCATGGCAGCCCACCAATTACTTACCCCTTCCTTGTTGCCCCACCTCCATGACGTGTGTCCCTAGTGACCTAGCAGGAGAAGGGTGACCTCACACTTCACTGCTAGAGAAGGGGGCCAGCCTCCTGATCTCTCCACCCCGCAAACCCAAGCAGCTTTTCGAACAGGGAGCCCTGTGGAGGCTCCCTTCCTGTGACAGGGGCAGCTGCCCGCGCAGGCAAGGGCCAGGAGAGGTCTGCGTGTCATTTGTCCTGCGGTGGTAGGCACAGGAGGAGATAGCCACGGGTGGAACAGGAACCGGAGGGTGTTTCCTACCCACTGTCTACGTCCTGCCCACCAAGCCCCCCTCCCTAGGCCCCTGTGAACCCTCACTCCCCCCAACACCTCTTGACAGAGCCACTTACCAGTTGCCGGAGCCTACAATACATACTTTCTTGCCAGCCATGGTGCCGCTTCTCTGCCTGAACCAGCTCAGTGCCACACTCCCCAGCTCCTCTGCCGGCTAGAAGCATATAACTCCGCCACATGTGGGTGCAGCCAAGCCCCGCCCTCCAGGGGTGGGTGGGGAGGCGGGCACCCAGGGAGACAGTCTGGCAGAGCCAGGGAAAGGGGAGAAAACGGTAGAGACCAGGCCCCACTGTGGCTCAGGTTTGCCAGCTGACCATGCTGAAGCTTCTTCCCTTGGCCCCAGCCCAGTTTCCTGCATCACCCCCCTTCCCACAGTGGTCTCATTTTGAGGTCTGCCAAGAAGTAGAACAGATAAGAAGTGACTGGCCCCCCTCACTCCCTTCTGTCCCCCTGCTCTGGAATAAACTGTATTCAGCCTGTTAGCAGAGACAGGAATGCTTGCTTTTGCAAGGAAGGAATTGCCCTACATATCCTCCCAGGACCCAGGAACTTCTCTATAGGTTTGTCCTCTAGAAGTAACAAGGACCACATGTCACTGGCCCCATACTAGCTCCACTCTGCAGGGCTGTGGGTGAGTGAAGTGAGTGGGTGTGGGCCCACTTTTAAAGATGACCACATAAAAGGTCAGGGCCTGCTTTGGGGGCAACCCAGCCCAAGAATTAGAGACCCCAGAAGCCCCAAGAGACAAGATGGTCTTGGTTACCCAGTGATCATCTCGGGGACTCCCCACCAGTGGGCTTCTCCTCATGCAGAGCATCCCCACCTGAATGTCTTCCAGGGGGGGAAGGGGGGTCAGCATTAGCAGCTCTGATGCCAAGTGGCCCACAGCTCTCCTTTTGCAGACTCGGCTTAAGAGGGGGACCAGAGAGGAAAGGAGGCAGCCAAAGTGTTCACTGTCCTTGAGAGGTTTTGGGCTTCCTTCAGTTCTTGAGTTTCCAAGCCACCATACTGGGGGCCCTTCACGTTACTGGCTAGTTTGTAGAAGCCTGAGGGAGAAGGGAAGCAGGACCTGGGGCAGCTATGAACTCTGGAGCTTTGTGGTCTCAGATCCTGTAATTGAGATTTAGTGTGGGTCTTATTTGGGAGGAAGGGGGTTGAATGGAGCACATTTTCAGCAGCTCATGGCTATACCTTGCCCACAGCTATCTGTTTATGAAGTCGGGAAGCTTTGGTTTCTAGGCTCGTCTGGAGAGTGGAGCAAAGGCTTCTAACCTTCCAGCCATCTGTGCACCTTGGCCTAGAGGGCACACACCACTGCATGCTCATGTGCTGACCTCCTGGCTTGGTGGACTGCTCTGTGGGTGTTTCCATTCCCCTGGGCCACTGCTGGCTGGCAGGCAGTGATAAGTACTGGGCCAGAGGGAGTCTCTGTACAACCACTGGGTAAGGGTAAGTGGGCAGGAGGTCAGGACTAGGGAGAAATGGCTTTCTAAGTTTTAGGGGCTGCCCAGGAAAAGCCTACCATATTCTCCCATGGCCCATGGGAGTTCCCATAGGACAACTTACACAAAATCAGTAGATTGTTTCCCTTAGGAGCAAAGTTGCACCTACTACAGAGCCAGCCTCCCACAGATTGTTTGGCTATTGCACTGGCACTGGGACAAAGGCACCAGTGCCAGGCTGCCAGCTGGGAGCACTGATGATGGGTGGCAGAAACAATGCTTCTGTTCCTGTCACATGATGAGAACCCCAAAGAAAGGATGTTTATGCACTAAACAACCCCTTTGTTTTTGCCTAAATGCTTCTATCACTTATTTTGCCCCTACCATCATTTTAAGTAGTGTGGAGACAATGAATTTATTCATTTTTATAGGAATAAAGAGTGTGCAGATTCACAGTTGGCTTGTCACAGGCTGTTATCTGTACACCAGTGCTCTTTTCCCAAGAGCAAACTGTAGATTATTTGCTTGAAATTTATAATGGTTCATCAGCCATTCACTACACATGTAATTAGCCTGGGTAAAAACAGATGCCATTTCAATGTCCTTGACATCAAATTTTTTGCACTCTAGGTTATCACCCCACACACTCTCCTCTTCCCTGCTCAAGTTTGATAAACCCCATGTTTTAGCCTGGGCACAGTGGTTGTATCCTTGGCAGGTGTGACTGTACAGGCAGCACTTGAGTTCCATCCACGGTAAAGGGTAATTTTTTAACTACCACTCTGAAATGTGGCTGCACTTTTCCTATGTGCTGACTCCCTTCTTGGGTACAACCAAGCTAGTTAATGGCACAAAGGAAAGTAATAAGCTGCCAGGTGGGAAGCTGGCACATTCTAACTGCAGAATTTCATGCTTCTGCTAATGAGAATATCAATCCTGAGCAGCCTTCCCAACTCTGCCCACAAGGGGTTAGTTGTCTATGTATGAGGATGAAAACACAGCACTTCCATGCTGGTCTTAAGAACTGAAACCAGACTCAGGGCTGTGAAAGCAGAACCTTAAATGACAGGCACAGAGAACACAAATGTCGCCAGCTGTGCAGACACTGGCACATATCTAGAAGAGCCCTGAGAAGTGGTAATCCTCCAGACACTCAGGTACATCAAGCCTGAGGGATCACAGGTCCCTAAGAACTACGCACTTGAGCCAGCAGGTACTCCCTGGGGAGCTTAGAAGGCCAAAGGAGAAGATGGCACTGCTACTGCCTTGTTATTACCTTCTTCACACCAACTGGGGGCAAGGCTGGAGACCTGGTGACCATGGCCAATAATCCCCACCAGCACCTGGCCTGCTTGGACCTCTGAGCTTGAAGGTGAGAAACTGAGGCCCACAAGAAATAAAGTGTTTTCCACCGTATCCCCAGAGCCTACTCTGAGCTGGTATACAGCAGGTACTCAATAAATGTTTATCAACTAAAATGAACAAACACCGTGAGCATGGCTAATGGTACTGGAGGAGAAATAGCTCTGGGAAGAGCACTCCCTCAGTAGGTAGGAGAACCCATCCTTCAGAAGATTGTTTTATTAAAATGGGGTGACATTGGTGACAGTACAAAAAAAAATTTTGGTCCATGAAAAAAAAATTGTTAATAAAAACAGTTATCTTGAACAGGGACACTGCAGGATTGCTGAGCTTCCTTCTCACGGTTCCAGCCTCTGGGGGAGAACCTTTCAAGAGAGGGGCTGGAATAACGGCAAGGGGAAGATGGGGAGAAAATTCTGCAGTCCCCAGGCAGGGAGACGGGGCTGGGGGAATGTGCTCGCAGGAGCCTGAGGTGGGGTGGGGAAGCAGGGGCTTTGTCAGTTTTGTGGGCTTAGAGCCCATGCTGAACATAATTGCTCTCTCTGCCCGGCTGTCTCCCACCCTGCTGTGTTGAGTCTGCGAGTCTGGGATATACTAACTTGGGGGTGATACAACCTGGAGGAAGAATCTGAGGCTCTCCTGGTAAGATGCAAAATCATCTTGGTTCCAAGGGGCCGAGATCACGAGGTCCTGCTGCTACCTGAGGGGTCTGAAGCTTTGAGGGCAGGGGCTAGGGAGTCACATCCTGTGAGGCAGGGAGGAAAGTCACAATCCAACTCAGAGCTATTCTCCAGCCCTAGGCGCATTCACTCCTCAGTGCCCTAGAAGTCACCAGTGGGTGTCCAATGGGTAGGCAAGGGACAGGGAGAAAGGGAAGGCCCAGGGCTTTTACCCGTTTGATTTTAGGCCTGATTCTCCATGAAGGAATTTGGGAGCAGGGTGGAGTGAATGAATAGTCACACCTCCAGGCAACAGCAGGAAGGAACAGCCTCTGCTGGCAGTGACAGCACACCAGGTCCCTGGGGCTCTGACAGGGATATGCAAGATCATCCCACCCCAGTGCTGTGCATTAGGACAGGAGGGAATCCTAAAAAGAGCAGCTACAAGGAGTGTGCTGGAAGGGAGCAACAGTTAAAGAACCAACTCCAATACTGATGTGGACCCCCTACCAGGGAGTAAGAGAACTAATAGACAGCAGGCCAATGCAGAGGGCTGCAGGCTGACCTGGGGCTCAGTGGAGCCCAAGAGCCAGGGATCCAACAAGTGAAGGGAGAGTTTGCTCCAAACTTGTGGAGGGAAGGAAGGAAATTGGATTCTGCTATTACGAGAGCCAAGATCAACTAGCTTATACAGTGCCCCCAGGCCTGAGTCACAGAGAAGGGGCTAAAGCTCCCAACTCCTTGGTCTCTGAAGGGCAGGATCAGTGTAACCGGTCCCCTTGAAGACCACGTGGCCTTCGGCCCAATCCACTCAATGCACTGATTACCCCTATAGGTTCTCTAACACTATCTGGAGGTCCTGTGTAGACCAGGGGAGGGTAGAGGCACATGGGAGCCTAGTAGGACAAAGGGAAGCTGGGGGTAAAAGGGGATGGGGTGGGAGAAGAGGGTAATAGGTGTCTTGTGAGACCCTCTTCATTCTGGTGTTGTCCTTGAACCGGCAGCATCCCCTGGAAGGCCCCAAGCAAGACCAAGGCCGGTGCTGAGAGGCAGATGGCACAGGGCCCAGATAAAGAATCGGCGCAGCCAGATCGGCTGTGGGAGAGGCCCTATGTATTTCGGATCCCCAGGGCTTGCTCTAATTCTTGTCGTCTCTGCTGCACCTAGGGAGAAAATAATGGAGGGAATGGAAGATGAGACAAAGAAGTGGATACCTGACACCAGTGACCCACATCATGGGGTGCAGACCCTCGCCTTTGGTCACTTTCCCCATGCACCCCAGGAACCTACCTTGGAGTAAAAGTATCGGCATACAGCCTCCTGAGCCCAAGGCTGGAAGTAGAACTCAGCTCGGCGCTCTTCTTCTGGGTTGCCCACCACATCAGTCATGGTCTGAGGAAGAAAACAGACTTGTTTCCTTCCTTCACAGCTATTATGGATTGAATTGTATCCCCTGCAAAAATGTCAAAATCCTAACCCCTCACTACCTGTGCATGTGACCTTATTTGGAAATAGGATCTCTGCAGATCATCTAGTTAACATGAGGTCATTAGGGTGGGTCTAATCCATTATGACTGGTATCCTTATAAAAAGGGGAAACTTGGGACACAAAGACAGCCATGAACAGAGGGAAGATAATGTGAAGACACATGGAAAGCACCCTCTGCAAACCAAGAAATGTCTAAGACTATCACAAGCTAGGAGAGAGGCAGGAAACATTCTCCCTCACAGCCCTCAGAAGGAACCAACCCCTGCTGACACCTTGGCTTCAGGCTTCTAGCATCCAGAGCTGTGAAACAATACACGTCTTTTGTTTAAGCCACCCAGTTTATGGTGCTTTACTACAGCAGCCCTAGCAAACTACTGATACAACACCCAGTCACACCCTGATATTAAGAGGTCATTTTACACTGCCTCACTTGGGGTCCTACCTGGCACCCCCCGTTCCTTGCTTCTCTGCTCTGCCACTGTCATTGTAGTCAGCCACATGACAGGTGAGAATTGAAGGCACATCGCACTCATTCTGTGCTCATTCCTACCTTCTTGCCTGAGCTTACGGTGCTCCCTTCACTGGGAAATACCTCAAACCCCAAGTTCCCCAGCTGTTCTAGCCTAATACGTCTCCTTTCAATTACCATATTGGTTCTGATGATTTCTGTTAACATTTTACATGTTTTACTACGTTTAAATCAAATTAGCCCATGTCCTTCATCCAAAAAAACGACCTGGCCTGAGACATTTTCTTTTGCTATTAACTTCCTTGCCCCACCCTCCTTCTACCTATAAAAATCTTCCATTCTGTACGGCTCTTCAGAGTGTCTGCCTGTTTACTAGAAGGGATGTTGCCCAATTCATGAACTGTTGAATAAAGCCAATTAGATCTTCAAATTAAAATAACAAACAAATCATACGAACCTAGTTTCTCTGAACAAAATGCATGATACTTTGAAAGCAGAGACCAAGTTCCTACTCTGTATCTCCTACAGTATGGTGCACAATGACCACACAGGGTAAGTACTAGGTAAACACCTGATGGTTCTACCATTTCCCCACTTAATTGTAAAAGGGACCCTAGAAGGTGCTAAAGAAACTGGTCCCTCACTTCCCTCTTTGGCTCTTCTACCAGATGCAGCAGAAATAAAGCCAATGTGTGCCCCCCAACCTAAGTCCCTCTGCATCTTTCCTAGGTTCTGTACCTTGAGGTCCCGGCACTGGGACTGAAGCCAATCATTGATGAAACCCTGAGGATCTCTGGCAAAGCTCAGCATGAACTCCCGCTGGGTCTTCAGCTGATTGATAGTTTCTATAGTCTCATGAATCTGAAAGGAAGAAGGAAGCTCAGAATATTTTCAAACTAGAGAAATGCAAAATTAAATGGCAGACACATCTCCAGATACCACTCCCAACCTAGGTCCGGGTGCTGCCCGGAGGTGGCACTACTGTCCAGTGCCCCAGCTGCTCCAGGACTCAAAGTTCTTTCAGCAGGTAATGTGTGCAATGTCTATATACCTGACATGAGGGAAGTTTTCCTTTCAGTCTCCACAGTGTCCACTGTGGGTAAGGCTGCGTGGTGAATACTTAATCCCGAGTGGGTCCAAAAACATGCTAAGGTAGAAAAGAAGTGGTATAAAAGGAAGGTCTCAAAAGTTACGGTCTGTGGGTTCTGTTCCTGCCCTTTTCTCATTTTCCATACTCCTCCTGACCATACATCTACTTGTGTGTCTTCTACTACCACTGACAGGGTAACAAGCCCCCCAATCTGAAGTCCACAGTCCATTTTCTAAACTCCAACTGCTTGACACCTGAAGGCCCCTTCAATTCTCCAGCACTAAATTCACCACCTTTCTTTCCCCCATCACTTGCTTCTCCTCCTGTTCCCAGTATGAATACTACCATGCACCCATCCTAAAAACCTGGGCGTCATCACCATGCCTCCTTCCCCCTCTGCCGCACGCCACCATCCCCATCCAAACGATGTCCAAATCCCTTCAGTTCCACTCTGACACCTCTCAAACCTATTTATTTCCATTCTTGCTGTCAGTACTGTTAATTTTAGGCCCTCAACACATCCCACATGCATTACTGCACTGGTCTAACTGGGCTTCCTGTCTCCAGATCTGCACCTCTTACAATTCACTCTCTGCTTTCCTGTCAGTGATCATTTTAAATGTAAACAGCATCAGTCCCTCCGATCTTCAGGATGAAGTTTAACAGCTTCCCTGCACCAAAGCTTCTTCAAGACTAGGCTCCTGCTTCCCTACCCAGTGTCCTTTCCCCAAATTTCCCATCCCTGGCACCCTGACCTGTATCTAGCACACTAAATAGCTTGTACTTCTTGAACATGCCAGGCTCTCTTCCTCATTTTTGGACCTTTACATACCCTGCTCCCTCTTTCTGGAATGTCCTCTGCCTCCCAGACCTGTAGGCACCACTATCTTTCTCCCCTTTTATTAACTCCTACTGTGTCCTTCAAGATTTAGTTGGGGCACCAACTCTTCCAGGGAAGCCTCCCTGTTCTCCACAGTGTACCCAGAGCATTGCTGGCTTTACGTGCATGGACTGTACCTGACAATAACAGCAACAGCAGTTACCATTTGTTTTATGTGCCAGACACAATGTCATGTCTTTATATACAGTCTCATTTAATCCTAACAACCTTATAAAAATAGGTATCATGGTCTGTCACAGATCAGAAGCTGAGGCTCAGAGCTATCAAAAGGTATAGCCAGAATCAGAATTTATGTGTGTCTGGCTCCAACCAGCACCAAGCACAGGGCCTGGCATCTACTAGGTATCAATATGCTTTGAATGAACATCAAAAATCAAAAGGCAGCCTAGAAGCTGTGATAGAGGACTGGTGGCACCCATACTGCCAAGGGCAGAGGCCCTTACCTTGTTGTCTAGAGTAGCGATCTCCTGCTGGCTGGCAGTAGACAGCAGAAAAGAATTCATCTGGGTCTTCAAGGTATCATCCACTTCCACATCAATGTCGTAACAAGCAGTCTTCTTCTGATCATTTGGATCAACACTGGGGAGGAAACCAAAGGGTCCAGTAAAGGCCTTATCCACCAAGACCTAATTACACAGGGTCAAAAAGATGGCTCAAGAATTAAGAGAAAGGGGTTGACTGCAATGGGCACAAGAAAACCTGGGGTGTGATATGAAAGTTCTAGCTATACGGTGTATATGTTTGTCAAAAGTCATCAAACTACTTTAAATGGTGCAACCTATTATATATAACCCCCAATAAAGTTGCTTTTTTAAAAGTCAGTAGTAAAAACTCAAATGGTACAAAAGATACACAGTGACAGTATGTTTCTCCCTTCCCAAAGGATACTACAGTATCTTGTGTATCTTTCTCCCTGTTAAATTAAAACTGACCCTGAAAATAAATTCAAGTAAAACACACACCACACAAAATAAAGAAAAAAATGACCTAACTTTAAGCATAAGAATACAGTACAGACTAGCTTCTACTGATCCAATGTATGGGTTGTAGGGGTTACTAATTGCTGATTGATGGTTCAAGGTCTAAAGAAAAAAAGGCCTTTACTGGAATTAATATGAAGTAAGGGAAAAAAGGCAAAGGACTCTATCTAACCAGAGACATGCTGCTTTGAAAAGTGCCTTTCTTCACTTCCTATCTGCCTAGAAATGCCTTGCTCATCCATTTTCTGAACAAATAAGTGGACAGAGATAATGGAATTAGAATCTCAGACTGGAATGTCCTGCCATCCAGAGAAAGATGGCAGCCCATCAGTGATGAGCCAGCAAATGTGTAACAACTTGTTCTCCAAATGAGGAAAAAAGCCCTGATTTGTAGCATTTGCCGATTTCTGTGGTTTAAATATTCCCAATATGGTTGACTTGAAGTTGCCAACATCACACCACTGATCAAGAAGTTGAGAAGAGATGTGCAGTCATTAGAAGGTATCCCCCACTTTCTGAAAGTCTGCCTTATGCCACTTCACTTTTATGAAAGACCTACATTAGCATGTTTTTCCTAACTAAAAGAAATCTGAAGAGGATTTTCACTTTTATAAACAAAAAGTAAAAAGTGCAAATAGTGTTCAGTATTTGTTCTGCAGTGAGCCATTATAGAGGCAGCACGCACCCCAGCAGCAAGAGCAGCCCTGCCAGGCTCCTTCCCCAGGAACCACCCTCAGCATCCCAACCTCAAGCCACCAGGGTTTTGAACTGTGTCTGTGAGCACCTGTGCTTTATCTTGATCTATTTTGTGCATCCATAAACAAGATGTGTCCCAAGGTATCAGAAAAGACTGAGATGTTATTTTTTGGGTCTAGGAACACTCAAAAAATTTTCCATATAAATTGCTTCTTTGTTAAATGCATTTCAGCTTATGAAAGCTTTCATAGAAGTGTTCTACTTTCAGACAACAGGGGAAACCTGTGTCATATTTCACCAAACAGACATAGTAGACATCAAAAACACAAATACTAGCATTTATAATATGTAAGATATTATATAAGTGTTTTTAGGAATAATAAGGCAGTTAGAAATAATGAGTTCTTAAGTATATATATATAGTACCCTCATTTTAAAAAAACACTTAAGTGTATATGATTTAATTTTAACTAATGGCTGTGTTTAACAACCTGCTTGCTAAATTCCTAACAATCTGACATTGCCTTGTGCAAGCTGTACAAGCCAGCTGCAGCACACCACTGACTCCCATACACAAGCTTACCTGATGACGTGGTTAATGATGATGGGCTCTGGTGGCATAAGCAAGGCGTGGAGCCGTTGGGGGATCTCTGAAAACTTCATACGTTGAGACTCAAAGATCTGTGGGAAAGAGGAGCAGCAACTAAGTAGATGCCATTCTGAGCACAACTAGGGCTCCAGCAGACTGTAGCAGAAGAGCAGGTCCTTTTCCTACCTGCTGGAGGTACTTGTCACAGATGACAAACTCCCGCTCATGAGGGTCCTGGAGCTTATGTGTCTTAATATATTGCCACAGTGCTTGGATGATCACTGGACGGGTCTGGGTGTGGATGCCCAGGAGCCGAGCGAGACGAGGGTCTAATTTAAACTGGGGAGGCTGCAACAGAACCAAAGAACACAGCAATGAAGCTAGTGACCTGGGTCTCCGTGTGTTTCGAGGTGTTTAATGTGGCCATACACTCAACAGCATTAATGCAGTGCTTTCTTTGGGGCAACAAAACACTAGGAGGAGCTCAGGGATGACTAAGACCCTATCCCTATATTTAGGGAACTTATTGTCGGTGGCAAATAACCCACAACTTAGACTTAAACCTTTAAATGTCAGACTGCTGATGGGCTATGGCTGTGAAAGCTGGACCCCCAACCTCACTATGGAATACCTGGTAATCCAGCATCAGTAGGACAGTACACCGTACATTCACATCTCCTGGTCGCTTCACCTGGAAGCCATCTGTCTCCTGGGTAGTGGCGGTCCTGTGCCACTACAGAGAGGAAGATGTCAGGGGGTGCTCTCCCAGAGGAAGAGCTGGAGTGGGAGGGAAGAGCTTCTGTAATGACTGATATTCAACTTTAATTAGTGAGACTACTGGAGAAGAACAATGGCATGAGACATTTTTTAAAATTGCATATGGCTTTGTGATTACTATCTGTGTTTATGTAGATTAACCTTTTAATTCTGACTGTTCAGGGTCACATTTAAATTAGCCTGAATTTCCAGTGATAATTTTATCCACAAAATGGATAACACACATGTGCAGAGTAAAATAATATACCTAGTATGTGTGAGCCTACTCTAAGACATTTCCTTGGATTGTCTCATTTAATTCCCACAACATATATACA